TGTAGAAATCATTTCTAAGGTCTCCATATATCAGAGCATCGTGTTATATACCTTAAATATATACTATTTTTATTTGTCAAAAGTCTGGAAATTTCCATGTGCGATATAAATTTTTGCTGTGAAAGTGTTAGAATATCAAACAAACTGGACCCACTGCACCCTACGGCTGTGGCTCTTCAAGTGTGTTTGCCAATCACAACATGAGTCACCAAGGAACTTGTTAGAAATGCACATTTGTGGGCTGCACCCAGACTGACCATGTTAGAAACCAGGGGTAGGCTTTGCAGCCTGGATCTGAAGCACTGTTCAGGTTATCCTGCTGCACACCGAGCCTGAGAAGCTTTTTTCCTTTACAGCCATCCCTGGGAGTTCCTTACAAGCAGGTATCTTTCCAGACATGATATTTGTAGACATCTTCTCTCCTGAATTGCTTAAGGACAGTTACATAACCACTCCCTGGGCCGGCCAGCTTCGTGGCAAAATTGAATAGGTCTCACTCTCAGAAGAGGTCCATGGAAGATCTAAGGCTCTGCTGTTGTATTTTGAAATTACTAACAATTTTATCTTTTAATTGATGTCTTTGTAAGTGAAGTCTGATGAGACAATGGAACATGTGCAGGAGCAGAGGAGATGCTCCAGTTGACAGCAGGGGCGGGCTCAGGCCAGTGGACATGGAGAGGATGAATAGAAAATAGCCAACTAGCTGAACCTTTGCTCTGGCTAGCCAGGGCCTGTGTATATTCCTGCTGTAGACCAGGATCCCATGGATTCTTAGAAGTAATAGAAGACATGCTTTTTGATGACCTGTATTCGATAGAACAACTACTGTAAAAGTAAGGAAATTACTACTAAAATAGTATACATACAGACATTGCAATAAATGTAATCTATGTAATGTAAATCAAATAATCTATAATAGACAATGTTTGTGTATTCTTGAGGTTCTTGTGTTGAAACCCTAATTCACAGTGTATGGAATTTGGAGGTGAGGCCTTGAGCAGGTAACTAGGGTATGAGTAGAGTCCTCCTTTGTACCCCTATAAAAAGAGACCCAGAGAACCATCTCACTGTCTTTCTGCCATTGGAGGACACAAGAAGATATTGATAGTATGTAACAGGGAAGATATCTTAACCAGGGCCCAAACATAATAGCATCCTGATCGTAGACCTCCAGCCTCCAGAACTGTGGAAAATAAATTTCTGTCATTTATAAGTCACACAACCTAAGGTACTTTGTTACAGAGCCCAAGTAGATTAAGATTGTCATTGGAATTCTTCAAAGAATTTAGAATATTTGAGTTTGAAACCATACCACCACTGAAAATCAAATATCTATAGGGCTAAAAATACAAATTAAATTTACAGGTCACCACATTCCATAGAAAAGAACACTGTCTCAAATCAAGCTTTGTGCCAAGAAAATAATTTTAAGGTTAATGCTTCCTTGAAATTGAAGACAGAGCGGTATAATCTATAAACGGGAGTTTGAAATATATGCAAATCAAGAAGCCTCCCTTTTTATGATTTCCGCAAGTTACAAAAAACTGTAGGAAAAAAGCCAGGCATGGTGGTGCACACCTGTAACCCCAGCACTCAAGAGACTGATGCAAGAGGATCACCTTGAGTTCAAGGCCAGCTTGAACTACATAGTGAGTTCAAGGCCAGCCTGAACTGTATAGCAAGATCCTGTCTCAAAATAAAAAAAAAAAAACTATAGGAAGAAGCATACAGTGCTACTGTATACATTTGCAGTTAAAAGTAAATACAGAATTACACAAAATGTAAGGTAAATTTTTCTAGAAAATATTTTTCCTCAGGACTCATCAGCTCTAGTTATAAAAAATTAATATTCAAAAATAATTTATCAAAATGTCTCCCAATATTGTCACAGTCTATGATATACTCTCAGTAGCTCTAATTCTAGCTGCTGCAGAAAGCCCTTTCTCTAGATTAATAATTATGAAAAATTATTTGTAGTCTTTCCTTCATTGACACTTCCATTGATTGAAAATGAAGTTGTTAAAAGTATAAATTTGATGGATTCAATAATAGGCATAAAAGAGTCAGAAAAATATTATGATCAATGATTATTTCATTCATATTTATTGATAATAATATATTGAATTTGTTCACACTTATTGTATAAAATTATGACATCAAGTTGCTTTGCAATTTCTATATGTTGCTATCATCTCATTACATTTTATAGTAATATAATAATTTTAAAGGTAAAAGCTTTATATTTTTGTATCTTATAGTTCTCCTTTGCTATGTGAACAAGAGACCTTGTACTGTCATTTTGCAGAGCACCTAAAAATTATGTTCCTGATCTTACCTGTGACATTTGACATGGCCACAAAGAAGTAGAGATATGACCATAAATAATGCCAAACAAAAACAATCAGAAGACCCAAAGTTAAAACTCACCTCTGGGACATTGCATGATGCAACCTGTTTGTCTTTTAAATGTCTGGTAGTCTATAATAGTGATGAGGTTGTTTAAGAATGAGGAAGACCAAGAGATAAAATAAGTTGAAGTAATGCAAAAATA